GGAGGGACGGCACCCAGGAAGCAGCCGCCTGCCACTCAGTGCTTCCCGCTTAACCTTCCAGCGCTTACCTGGGTGGCGGGAGGGTGTTCGGGTGCAGCCTCGGAGCCCGGGTGCGCGGTCAGGCCAGCAGCATCCCTGGGGCCCTGGGGCCTGCCAGCGCTGCGGGAGGGGCGGGGGCTGAGCACAGCCCGGGGGCTCTCAGGCGTGGTCAAGGCTGGCCTTTCAGCTTGCAGGAAGTGGTGCTTTTTACTAACTCTTCCGTGAAAGTTCAGCCAAGGGCAAGGTTCTCTTGTCAATCAGATGAGAAGCCACAGTTATTGGAGGAGAGAGCGGCCCGGCAGGGCGGAACCGGCCCGGCTGCCGCTGGATGTGCCTGAGTTTGGACACGGATGGCTGCTGAGCCGGGTCCCCGAGAGGCCGGCAAGCAGTGTGGAGTGGCCGCTCCCTGACACTCGGCCTGGCCCCGCGGGCGCGTCCGTCTGTCTGTCTCCCGCAGGACTCAGGTGGCATTTGGAATCAGATTTCCCAGCAGCTTTGGGTTTCGGTTTCCTGATGATGGACAGAAAAATGAGGCCTTGAAAAATAACTTCAATCTACAGGAAGAATCCGAGGGCAATAAAAAGGCCTAAAAAGAGAAAAAAGAGGTGCCCGCAGACCCTCCGCTTAACGTACAGTCACGTGAAGGCTTGGAGACTGCGGCGAGGAATTCTGGGTGGCTGTGCCGAGGGAAAGTGTGCATTCAGCACCACCCAGCCCCGCTGCTGCTGTGGAGCCGTTTTAAAGGTCTTCTCCCTCATAACCAGATTGTTCAGTACAATGTCATTTGCAGCCACTGACATTTTCTTTAAAGCCGTAAAGGCCTACATAGTCATAAAAGGGCTCGGAATAAAATTAGGAATATCATGTATAAATTATCTTTAACCTTAGCTTCATTTGGACTGTGACTTTTTAGACCTGATCAATTTTCATGAAACTATCCACATAAAACTGTGAAAAAATATTTGATCCCCGGCTCTCGTGAAGGCAGCGGTAACAAGGCGCCGCTCTGCTTCTGCTGAGCGCGCCGCTGGTGCCAGTCTCTGCGGGCGACGCGGGGAAGCGGGGGATCATTTTGAAATTGAATGTAATTTCCCAGAGCATTGTTAGGGAAAACATCTCTGCCGATATGCATATTTTATACATAAGTGCTGTGTCGTCAAGGACGTTCGGCAACTCGCTACATTTTCTGCTTAGTTGGGGAAGCATTCACTCACACGACCGGCGCTTTCCCCCGGCTTTGCAAGGGTCAATTGGCTGGGTGCCGCTGTCGCGATTCTCCTGCGCAGGTTATCTGCATGATGGGTTTCCCTGCAGTGCCATCCATCCGTGCGCAGCTGGGAAAGGGGGTGGGGAGATGACCGGGACGCTCCATGTCCCGACCTGAGCCGGCGCATCTGGAGAAGCGGAGAACCCGTGACTCATGGGAAATTTGGAGCCTCCAACAAGGGCTCTCTACGAGATACTCGTTCCTACAGCAAAGTTGGCTGCGGTGATTCCTCAGCTCTGGGTGAGGATGCCAGCTGAGGAAATCTCGACGTGGCAAGCTTGCTCGTGATTAATTCCAGAATTTCTGGAGGATGTGTGGGCTCTCCTAGGACTCCATCTCAGAGCTCCAGGATTTCTGGTGAGCCTCGCTCAGCTCTCCTGGGACAGTCCTCTTCCCTCGTTCGACAGTTCTCCTCCGCATGGTGATAGGGGACGCCGGTGGCGGCTGAATCCCTGCAGGTCCCCCTGGATCCCCGCCTCCGGGGGCTGCCATCTGCGCGCAGCAAGGGCGCCAGCCCAGCAGAGCCCGCCCCCCATGGAGGCCGAGGTCAGTAGGTACAAAGTGGATGGAATATGAGTCATTACTCCCCTCGTCATCTGGAGACTACGTTTATAGACCTTTCATCCAGACGGTTCCCAGAGAGCATCTGCACATCTAACCAGCTGTGGCGGAGAAGTCCAGCAGCCTCTCCGGTGAACAGTCGTAATCACTGAGCCATCCCCGCTCCTGGGCCCCTGTGTGGGATGCTGGGCCCAAGTTCAAAGTGGGGACTTCCCTGCACCTGTGGAATCCAGCGCGTGTGGATGTTTCTGCCGAAGGCCCCAGCCTCGGTGGGCATCTGTGACCCATCAGCCCCTCGCCTCGGAGCCACCGTCCTGACTACCCGTCACGTGAAAGCAGAAAGACGTGCCCCCCGCGGCTGGCTCAGCTGTTCGCCACCCTTCCCGGGCACGGACACTCTTCTCTGCACTCAGGTCTCTGGGACACCCCAGCTGGCCTGGCTAGGGGTGCACCGCCCCCAGCAAAGCGCAGGAGGGTCCGGTGTTCCGGGGGCTGCAGGACTCCCCGCCCCCGCCCCCCAGTGGCTCTGACGGGAGGTGAGGCGTATTTGCTGTTCTCCAGCGACACACCACCTTGAAAGAATGTTCCATGCTGTGAACGCCCCCGGAAGCTGCACCCAGAGTGTGGGGGCAGGGATGGGGGATGGGGAGTCGCTGAGCAAACTGACCAAGGACTGTCCTCAGCCCCTGACCTCTTACTCCCAGCAGCTTGGATTGTACATGGCCGGGCGTTTCCCCCAGGCTGCTGCACTGAGTCAACAGCCTCCACGTGGATTTCTTCAGGGGGCTCGTCCTCAAAAGACACCGCGGCGTAGAAACCAGCAGCTGACAAGACCTCCCACATCCACCCTCAGGTGTGAGGGGCGTCTGCGGGCTCCCACCCTCATCCTGGGTGAGGGGATGGCCCCAGGCACCCCTGTGCTACTTGGCTGTGTCTCCCAAAGGCGAAGCCCGGCTTGCCCGGGGCCCTTGCGTGTGTGGTCCCTGCACACACACGCACGTACGCACACACGTCCTCGTGCACACACACCTGTCTCCGCCTGAGGCTGTGCCCAGCGGCTGCTCCTGGGCCCGAGACTCTGCAGGAAGCTGAGACGCCCTGCAGGCAGGCCATCCCAGGGCTGCACGTCTTCCCTTGAGGCATGCCGCTGCCTGGAAGGCCTGTCCCTGCAGAGGGCCTGGGACCGGGCCTGTGCAGAGGTGCCAGGGCAGGCTGGAGGGGTGCTGTCACGGATGGTCCCCGCTGGCTTGGGCCTGACAGCTGCACAGAAGGTGGGTTGGAAGCTGGGAGCTGGCTGGGCCTCTGCTCATCTAAGTGCTTTGGTTGTTAGGGAAACCCAATCTTAAGAAGCCTTGGTTCCCAAGGACATGGAGCTGGCAGTGGGGCTGGGGGGAGGGATGGGCAAGCCAGTGCAGGGCTCGGGGGTGGGGGACTAGAGAGCAGGGCATGGGTGATTCTCCTGCCAGAGGTCCCCTCCAGTCGGTGGGAGGCGGCACCAGACCTGCCCATATGCTTCATCCATCCTTTCAGTGGAGTCTCATCAGATCCCTTAAGAAAGGCTGCGTGCTCTCTAGGGCAGGTGGTCCTCGCCCTGGACCGAGCTGGATGAACACCGCACAGGGACTGTCTGACACGGGAGCACAGCAGGTAGTTCCTGGAATTCCAGCAGGCCACCAGGCTTCCCAGCTTTGCCTCCAGTCCCATGGCCAAGATCTCAGCCTTCTGTTTCATTACCCACTAGATGGGAGCACGGTTTTCCCCAGAGCCCTGCAGGAGTCGGAACACTGCTGGCAACAGGGGGGTAATAACGGTGCCCATTTCTGGGCCCTGGTCACTCTGTTACCCACGAAGGTGCACTGCCTTATTCCTGGCAATTCTGCATCTGACAAACGAAGCTGACCTTGGCAGCTGAGTCAGCTCAGGGGCCACACCGGGCCCCCCTGGCGCTGCTCCCTCCCTCGGGTTCAAGGATGGCTGAAGTGGCGAGAGGGGTACAGGTGTGCAGGGAGCGGCCCTTCCCAGGTGTATGTTCATCACAGAAGCCTGCAGACCTCTTCTAGAAAATGCTGGCTCCTCGCTCCATAATCCCAGAGGATGGATGCAACCTGGGTGGTGGCTTACATTCTGGATTTAATCGTCCTTAAAATTGTTACCTTCTGGGGAGGTATTTCCCTAGATTCGGGCTGTCCTTGAAGAGGGACTCTACAATCCACATCTGTGTGATTAATAAAAGATGCCGGCCCCTCCACGAATCCCCCCCACGCTGCCGACCCTTCCAGCACGTCTGATGCGCCAGATGAGGCGTTTCAACGGGGGAAGCGGCCTCCTCTCTGGCTCTGAGATTTTTCTTCTCTTCCTGCGCACTGTCGACCCCAACCATCGGTTGAGTTTGTCGGGGAGAGCAGCCGGCCAGGGCTCACTGGCCCCAGTGGGCCAGCCTGACATTCTGGGCCCTAGCTGTCCGCTGCAGCCCACCTCCCCCACTCACTAGTTACTTATTTTCCTGTCTGTCTGGACTTCAGGTCCACTTACTCCCCATCCTCACCCAGACAGGGCCACCCATTTGGTGTCCAACACATGCTCGCGAAGTCTGCCAAGCGTCTGTAGCACGTGCTGTACCGTTGCTCTGTGGGTGGCGGGGCCGAACCCTGGCTGCACAAGAAGGTTACCTGTGGCGCTTCTGAAAAATGCAGACGCCCTGGCTGTGCCCTCAATTTCAAGCTGCAACCTAGTGCTGTTTCTTGAGAAGGTCATGCCAACCTGGTGTGGGAGAAGTTCCTGTTGTCTCACAGCTGCTTCTCTGAAGCAGGATCATTTCTTCCAGGGAAGAACGACCACATCTGAACAAACAGGAGCTGTTGATCTGCCCCTGGTGCCTCGACGCTACATGCCAGTTGCTGGCCAGTGATTTTTCTGGGGGACACAGTGACATCATCAGAGATGACGGGGTCACAGCAGAGAAATAAAAGCCATGTTAATTTCAAGGTCCATTAAAACTCCAGTTTAAAAAAAATCAATATTTTCTAAACATAAATGGGAAAAAATTGGTAGGAGACGAAATTCTATTTCGAGCTTTTAAGTCTATGACCAGCAAGGGATGAAAATATTGGCCAAAAAAAAAAAACCCACAAACTTTTGAGTATTTGATAATCTTCTTTGGAAATGTTACGTATAATTGCAGGTTATTTAGGATAATTGTTTATTGAAGTAGATTGATGTCTCAGGCATTGGGTTTTGATGGAAAGTCAACTTTTGCCAATAGAAACATCTACAATCAGAGAACCCGTAAGCCAATCAGGGAGGGTTATCTCGGCCAGTGTGCGCTGCGTTTCAGAGAGGAGGAGAGGGACTTCTGTCCAGCGATCTTGTTCTTCCCACAGTGATCAGATAACACCTTCTTGAAGGGATAAAAAAATCAATGATGGACCAGAAAAAAAATCCTGGATGATTTCCATCTGTAGAGATAAAACCTGCTGTAAAACTCCTTCACACTGTCTGAAAATACTTTACTGCATTCCTTCAGGTGTTGGAGGTTTTCCTTGTGTGAGAAGGACGCACAACTCCACATACAACTGTGCAGAGGGGCGGGGGCTCTAGCCCCTACCCTCAGGCAGCCCAGCCTGACCCCTGGGACCAGATAAGGGCTCAGGCAAGGCTCAGGGACGTGTGGGATTAGTAACAGAGGAAGTGTTCACTTCTGTGTCCTGGTCACAACCCTGAGAGTGAAGAGTTTTGACTCAAAATGCCTCCTTAGGATAAAACAAAACCCAAAAACTATCTTTCATCATTCAGCTTTCATTTTGGACGGAATGGAAACAAAGTACATTGACTTCAGTAAATCTAAAAGCCAAATTAGATATTTAACAGTTTAAATAGTCGGCACTATTCTTAACATGTTATATTAAATTATATTAAGTATTCTTAAAGTATTTATATTCTTAATGTATTCTCAGGTGGGTCCCACCTGCGGCCACATTGTCTCAACGGGAAGAAGAAGCTGCAACGCCAGCCAAGGCTGATTTTAGTCTTGCTGGTTGTACACGGCGGGGTGTCTGGGCTCCCGGCACGCCCACAGTGTTTAGGCACCGAAAGCCTTTCCTGGTGCCTGCGTTTGCAGGTGACTTCCTGGAGCCTCTTCCCTCCTCTGGCTGGCGGCCTCCAGTCAGAAACTTGTCTGCTTCATCCAAAGCGCCCTGCCGCTTCTGGGACTCGATGGCATTTTTGCCCAGAGACTCAGTTCTGCAAAGTTATGTCTGGAAGAATGACCCAAGGTCCACTCCCAAGTCCCCCTCACCTGGGAGAAGGCACTGCCATGCCTGCAGGCACACTTTCCTGCCTTCACTTTGGCAAAGGTTTCCCGTTGCAATGTGCGGTGGAGCGTCCTTGTGTGACCTTCTTCATTCCAGCCGAGCTGGCCCATTTAGTCGGGCCACAGGAGACCTCTCTTCACTGGCGGCTTTGGTCTTTGTTTAGAAAGTGCCTCCAGCCAGGATGGGAATGTCTTCAGCCAGTCTTGATGAGTTCTGGCTTTATTTTCTCATAAAGGGATGCCAGTTCCAGACCCACCATCATTCCTGGCACAAGATCTGGTCTGAGTGGGCTTGAATCCTCCTTCCTCTCCTATCTGTGTCAGTTTCTTTGTCCCCTTTGACCCGCCAAGCTCACCTTGCGTCCTCAGGCGGCGGCCCCCAGGTTCCTCTGCCTCTGGTCGGCTGGCATCGCCTCTCTGCACCGCATTTACATCTGTTGGCATGTGAGACCTTTCCTGAGTTGCCCACACATCTTTTCAATCAGAGGAATTTGGTTTGGTTTTCTTTGGAATTTTGCATTTGTCACCAAGAGTTTCAACAGCTGAACATCCTGGCTGTCAGCCCCGATGCGGGAATGGCTTCTGAGGACCCGGCAGAGGCAGACGGTGCTAATTGTCCAGTCCCTCCCAGCCCCCCCCCCCCCCGGCTCAGCGGTTCCCTTAAGTCTGGCCTTAGAAATTTCGGAGGAGGAGGGACATTCTAGCCAGGCTCAGATTTTTGAAGAGCAGATGTTTGTGAACAATTCCCTCCAAATGGTAATCCTGAACTTTGATAATTAGGTGCAGATGATAAGATTTCACAGAAGAAAGTCGTGTATTTTACCATCCTTGGACTTCAGTCGGATCGAATCCTTGTATTTCTCCACACCCGGATGGCTCGGGAAGCGAGGGGGACAGCACTGACAAAGAGGAGAGATGGAAAGATAAAAAGCAATGAGTGATTTTTCAAAGCCAATTATGTCCATGTCTATGGGACGCAAACCAAAGTTTGGAGAGAAAATAAGTAGTGTGTGTGGGCGGGGAGGGGCTTTTCTTAATCTGGGAAACTGGTTCAGGCCCATGAAACATTTCATCAAAAGCTAATGTGAAACCCATGTGCTCATCAATATTTATGTCCTCCCGGCTGCTTGTGGGCCCCTCCACTCCCGCCTTCCCTCGCCGGGCCAGTCAAACACTCCAGCAAAGGAAAACAGTGGAGGCTAATAGCACAGTACAGTACGGCTGGCTCCGAGTGTTTTCTTTCTGGAAACGTGCTATCTATCTTCCTCGTAGCTATTTATTTTTCACTTGGAATGATCTGCCTTACCCCCAAAACCTGGAAACACTTACCTAGTATTTACAATGCAGCTGCATTTGGTCCCTGTCCTCCATCCCCGAAGTGGCTGAAGTTCACAGGAAAGAAAGTGGGAAGAGGAGGGGACCGCTGGGTTCCACGGGAGCCCTGAACGCAGGTGATGACGGTCACCCTCCTTTGGGCGAGGAAACTGACGTTCTGAGGGTCTCAGTCACTCTCGCACTAGCTGGTGGAGCGGGTCTGGACTCTGTGGGAGGAATCAGAGCCCCTCCCTGGACCCCAGAACTCCTGCCAGTTTACAGCAGGCCTGTGGTGGTCTCGAGTGGCTCAGCCCCTCTGGAGGGCCTGCGGGACACCTCCTCCTTCTCCTTTCCGGCTCGTGGGGCTCAGAAGCCCCTGGAAACCACCAGCAGGAGCCTCTCCCACTACCTAGGAACAGAACGGGTCTTTGCATCTTGCCTGCTACCTCATGTGTCCCCAGAGAGCAGGGCAAGGTTGGATCTAAGCGAGGTCTTTCCCGCAGCCCAACACCAAGGGGCACTGGGGAAGTGTTAGCAGGGGAAGGCGGGGGGAGGGCGGGGGCAGACGTGGCAGGAGGCAGGCACTTCCTTGCCCCGTGAGCCCGAGTCCCATGTATGCGTGTCGTCCGGAGCTTGTACGCAGGAACAAACGGCTTCCTTGGAAGTCACCGCCTTGGCCTTGTTTTACACCATCTCCGTGATCTCAGAACTTTCAAGC